CCCCTCTCTGTCTGGTTCGATCTCGACCTGGCAGAGAAGTTCATTCGATTCGCTTTGGACACGTGGCGACTTCCTATTCGTGGAAAAATACGACTGTTGCGGTAGATTTATCGTCGAAATATTCAAATATTCCGACGCTTCGGATTTTGGGACGATCCTAGCCGCTCGTTGATTACACGTGCACGGTGGGGAAATTTTTCCGATGAGCTATAAATACCCCCAATCCTTCAGGTCATACCTTACGCTTCCTGAATTCTTGGAGTTCGATCTGAAGGCAGCTCGAACCTTTGGTAGGTCGATCTCTTCCCTCTCACTTTCTCTTTCGAGCATAGTTTCCATGTAGTCCTCCTTTAGTAGCGACTTAAGATCCGATGAGGATTTAGCTCGTAGGTTAGAGTCCGAGCTCGAGGAGATAGAAAACTTTAGGTTCTCCGACGATGGGGAGGATAGTGATGCTTCCACCTCGAGTTAGGGTTTGGAATACCCTTCTAGGATACCCGAGCACTACCTCGGACCTCTTCGTAGGGGGTTCGTTATTCCGGAGGAGAGGGAGAGAGCTGACAATCCTCCAGAAGGATGGGTCACTCTCTACTTCAAAATGTTTGAGTACGGTCTCAGACTTCCCCTTCACCCTTTCGTCCAAGAGTTTCTTTTCTGAACTAAGCTGGCTCCGGCTCAAGTGGCCCCAATGAGTGGGGTGTCATTTTTGCTTTGGCCATTCTTTTTTGGTTACGAGCTCGGGACAATGAAGAGGCAGAGCTATTGGATGTTGACCAGCTCCTCGCGTGCTTCGAAGCGAAAAGGATAGCCAAGAAGCCTGGTCGGTACTATATGTGCGCAAGGAAGGGCGCAGGAGGCATAGTTAAGGGGCCGACCTCCATCAAAGGATGGGTGAGGAAATGGTTCTATGCTTCTGGGGAGTGGCTGGCAAAGGACGAGTCAGGTCGTTCCTTCTTTGACGTTTCCACTAGGTTTGGGAACCTAGGTACGGAGTAGCTCTTGCTCTTTATGATAAACTTTCTTTCTTGTTATTTAGGTCTAACTCAGATTTTGCCTTGTGCAGTATCAATCAGGCCGGTTCCTGAGCTCACTCAAGCCTCCTTAGACACGCTGAAATATTACAAGGAGCACTTTTCGAGGGGCAGGAAGGTCAGAACCTTGGTGATCGACCAACTGCTGCTCGAGTCCGGGCTGTTAGATTACAACCCTGCAGTT